TGTATTTTAATTTATTGCTTTAAATCAAATTTCAAGCAACTCCCTTTTTTTTAAAAAAATATTTTGCCAAATTTTCCACAAAAATAAGGTAATTAAAATAAACTTTATCCCTCAGTTTTATGAAGAGCTGCTCATTAACGTTATTTAACCCATTAAGGGGCCATAAAATTTCGTTTCCTTGTGGCCAAAAAAAAAAGAGTCTATTAAGTGGGTTGAAATATGAAGACCATGGGTGCAGTCACTTGGCTGCTTTTTTGGTTCGCCCCGGATCTTGGCAGGATGTGGTTACAATTTTGCAGATGTCGCCGCTTTTGGCACCAAACTTTTTGGTCATTAATCTGCCGGAGAACGCGACTACCAGATGCCGGCGAGAAGTGCGAAAGTATCGCACACATGTTTCCTTTTATTTACTTTTATTTTTTTGGCAATGCTCTGGCTCTATGTTTAATTGGATTTGCAGCTAAGCGGAATTAGAATGCTCCGTGGGAAAAGTGTTGAGTTACATTTGCATATTCGAGCTGTGGCATCTTGAAGGAAAATACCGCAGGCACACTTGAAAAAATAAGCTTTTGGTTTGGCAGTAAAATTTCTTTTCACATTTTTTGCCCAGAAAGTCCTTAAAAAGTGTTTAAGATTTGTAGAAGTTTAAAGTATTTAAATAATGTAACCCCTTGATTTAAATATTTTATTAAAACGTTTAAATTTTGTAAAACTGTGTTAATAAATGTTGAGAACCAAAATGAATATTCAATTTATTTTAGCAATAATAGAAGATGGGAAAACATTGAGAGAAAATTCTTCAACTCTCTTAAAGAGATTAAGAAATTAATATAGTAAGCTAAGCTAATTAAATTATTCCTTAAAAAAATGGGTAAAATGCGGTGCTATACCTTATGGATTTCGTAGATTTCTTAGATTTAGATCTTTTTAACATGTTTAATAAATTTTAAAACATCTTCTTTGCAGTGCCATTGGGAGGCGACAACAAGCAAGTGTAAATTTCACTTGAACTGATAATTTCACTCAATTTGTGTGCGCTGATGAGCAAAGTTTTCCCATTTGCATGAGACTACGTGTGCCATCTTTTCCTCGAAGACTCCCTTCTTTGGGATGCAAGTTTCCATCTTTAGCTTCTCCTTCATCTATGCTTGTGATGATTTCTTTTTTTTTTTTTGTCGCCGTCGCTGAGTTGAAGGTGCCAATTAGGGATTTCCGCCTCAATTACTTTTGCGAGCACACGAAAACCAAGTTTGTATGATTTTCGCATGACAAACTTAGGGCTTTCACCCCTACAACCTCCCCTTTCCCCTGCCCTTCAAAGTGCCTGTTTCCTTTCGCGGAGTATTCACTTCCCCCAAAAAATGTAATTGCACGAAGTGCGCCCCCGAAATGTTGGGTGTGCGTGATAAAAAACTCGTTTGCATTTTACATGTTTCATCTGCAGGTGCAGAAAGCTTGAATAGTTCATGTGGCTTTTCTGGGGACTTGGTAATTTCCATTTCTAGTGAATGGGTTTCCAGCTACTTGATTGCCTCTGCGATTGCCTTAAAATGATTGCAAATATGTAGGGGAATGTATAGAGAAAGCAATATCTGAAAATATACTGACTGATTGGTAATGTTTCATTTTTCAATAGATTTTTTAGTGTACATTTTAAAAATTAGTATATATATAGTAACGAAATTAAAGAAATGGAATAGTAAAAAAATATCTTGCTATCAAATTGCATACTAAAATTAAATATAATATTTTCATTAAATTCAATATATATTAAATAAATGGATTCATTATTATGATAAGTATGAACTTTTTTAATATCGCGATTAAAGTACATGTTTAACTAATTTTAAAATTTATTAAAACTTTTCTAATGTTTCCGGGCAGATACGACATATGTTCTCGATCAAACCGTCTTACTCTTACCGAGTATTGAGTATTACATTTCTAATTTGACCAAGTTCTAATGCTTTGATTAACGAGACTCTGAAATAGGCAACCATGCAAACGAGTTTCTGTAAATGCTAAATACACTGCCATCAGGTCGAGAGCCTTTCAAATCAAAACCAATATCGGACGAACGACAAAGGCAAACGTTTCCGTACCTTTTGTCAAGTCACGGAAAGGCCGAGAAGCACTTAGCAATATTGCATTGCAACCGGCATCAAATCGAAGTGGTTAGATATCGAAGGGAATTATTTGTCATTCGAGAATGGGAAGTGGGAAGGGGGAGGAAATGAGGAAGGGGTCAGATGTGTGACGATTCCGGATGGGATCCTTGGCTCGTCCTGCTGCTTAAGTGTAATTAAATTCACCCGCGCCCATCCCTCAGAGTGTGGCTCATCAAATGGATTGATTTATGATGATGCCCACCTCCTGCTCCTCTAATTCCATCCTGCCTGCCACCTGACGAGGCATGACATAATAAATCGTTATGTCCTGGATGAATCCTGGATCCTGAGTCCTGGGAACTGGGTCCTGGGACTTGCGACCTGGCACAATGACACCGACTCACATGTCGGCCGTGCACAGATTTGAAAATTAATTTGCGAAAAGTTTCGCCTGCTCAAATCTCGCATTTCGCCTTCTATATGCGCTATATTTATATTTATTATTTAATTTTGCCCCGCTTTCTGTGTACTTTAGCGTATTTTTACGCTCCACTGCTAAAAGCTGCCTCGTTCTTTTTCTTTTCCTGTGTTGACGGCAAAGTTTAATTTTTATTGTTGTTTGACTTTGTTAAATGATTTTTATTGCCTTTCTTCTGCGCCGCGGGGTGGGCGAAGAAGCGGCGAAGCCTTTGTAGGAATTTAATATAACTGCTGTGACCATATTGCCGAGCAAACAATGCACAACGTTCCAGTTTCTGCCAAGCTTCAAGTTAACGAATATCCACCTCTTCCTTTCTTCCACGTCCTGCCCTTTATTGCTCTAGAATTTATTGAAGCTCTCCGCTGAGTTTGACGGTTTGACTTGAGATATGAGGGCCATTTGATTGTTTTGTACAAACCGAGGAGTGGATGCCGATTTGTGAAGTTTGTCAGCCAACAAACCCTAAAATATAACTGACTATGGACAAAATCACAATGAAGGTGAGAAATGAAAAGCAGTCTCGCTAAAAACCGCAACAAAGAGAAGCCAATTTAATGAAAAAGCTGAGGATGCAGCTGCGTTCAAATTTATGGCATCACAAAAAATCCATAGATTATAAAACCCAAATACGACTATCATTAAATACATAATTATAAATAAAACTTTGGACAATATAACAAAAGAAAACCAATCTTTTGGATTTGGTTAAATGCTAAAATATAAAATCAAATTAAAAAAGAGCTTGGTATTTGGAATTTGATTTCTGCTCTTAAAAATATTTGAGCTAAGAAAAATATATTATTTGGCATGTTGGCATATTATTTTAACCCGAGCTGTTGTAGAAGGTACTTTTCATATTTTCTCGAGGAATATTTGGCGCCACCACAATAAAGGCGCCTTTCATGAGCCTGGCGTTCAAATAACTTTTTTGGTGGTTAATTGAAAGGGTTGAGCATTAAATTTAATTACAGATGCCGAAGTTGAGTACATTCAGTACAAGACTTTGATCTTCTTGACACACCGCAAATTAAATATATCTGCATTTTTTAGTCAGATAAAAACAACAAGCTAAAACTAATTTTAGTCAGTAAAAAGGTATTTATTAAAAAATAATAAATAAAATAAAATACAATATAAACGATATTAATCTTAATTTTGGAAACATATCTTTAAGACTTGATGCCCTATGCCCATCAGTTAAGTGGGTTAATTATCCCAGCAAATGTGGATTCAGACAGCCCGGAGCTTCAATTTGTCTGTCCACTTTTGCGGGAATGATTAATTGCAGTTTGCCGAAAGCCAGTTCGAATCCACGAGTAATGAGTCGACGTCGAATGAATTGCATAATCAGCTGTCAATTACAGTGCTGTCAGATCTGCGGCAGTTGGAGTAGCCTTTATTCGATGCAGCATTAAACAAATTGCGCTGCAGTCCGATGCGAATGAATTGTGAATGGCTGGCAGGCGAACAATGCCTTTTGGATTAGAACGAATAACGAGCAACGAATAACGAATAGTTTCCATGGATGGCCTGCATTTGTGTCAACTGAATTGTTATGGATGTATGTTTTATGTTTGCATTACTGAGCGGTATATCTTTTTCAATTCCCCCTGCTCGGCCTCGTTTTGCCGACGATTGTCCTGCGAAGGACAATGTACGCATTGCGTCACAGCAACAGAGAGAGATACGCCCATTGTTCGAGCTGAAACAAAGCCAAATCCTGTGATGCGACATTGTGCCCCCTTGTGAGCCGTTCGTTCCTTCAGCCTCGGCTTTAGTCATAGTTTTAATCTCACTAATGGCTGGCAGGGTTTCAAGTCAATGGCTACAAAAGCCCACAGAATCCTGTTCATGTCACAAAGGTCGTTCGCTGCACTCGACAACTCAATTTCTCCCCCTTTCCTAAAAAAAAAATAAAGATTGTAAACACAAAGCACAGCTCATATACACATCAGCTGGCCCATATTACTTGGGTTATGGTATGTGTATATGAATTTAGGTATACAAAGTTTTGTAGTATTTAAAACATATAATAATAAACCTTTATTTTTATTTAAGCAATGTTAGTTAAACCCAAAAACTCTTAACTCATAAAATTTTGCAAATCCAATACTCTAAAAGTAAAACAAAACATAATTATCATCAAAGTTGTGCTTTTATAGTTAATCATCAATAATACAATAATTATTATAATCCATAGTCTGTTGTATAGAAAGTCAATAAGTCAATTCACACCTGAGTCTGAGTCTCTCTGAGTAAATTCTATAAACTAAGTTTGTATTTCCCAATCAATAAACTAATCTCTCAGATAGCTTTTATATAGAGAGTGATTGAAAATCAACCGTACTCTATTCTCTACCTGGCTTGCAAAATGAGAATAGAATTATAGAACCTCAGTTAATCTCGGCAACTTGGATCGCAAACAAGTAACTGCCGCAATGCGCGAACTAGAAATACTACGAATATGTTTGATTTTCGGTTCTCTATTATTGTGCAATTGTTTTGCTGGTAAGACTAAACGTTTGTGGTTATTGCCGAGTAATAATAGTTTTTTGCTAATAACAGATGCCAAGCCATACGTTAATGACTTTGTGTTTCCCTCTGAGGATGAGCAAAATAAACGAGAATATCCTCTTTGGGAGCCGATCAAAGTTGATCAAGGAACCGAATCCAGTGATTACAATGGACAACGGGGCGTATGGGTAACGAGCGATGTTAAAAGTCTAGATAAGTGCCGCGACTTTCAACTTGATGAGTCTTCTGGATACGTTCGTTTGATTTTCATCAGTTACAAAAAAGTCGGTGATCCTCTGGAGAGTTTAAATAAGGCACTAACTGAGGAACTCAATCTTCCGGAACTAGTTTTCAGTGTGAAAGTTGTGAAGAGCGGAAAAAGACGTTTAGTTTTTGAACTGCCAAATGCCTTGGACGCCTTTTTAACTCTAAATAATTATTGTAAATTATATCATGATCGGCATAATCTCACCTATGAAATTCTCAATGTTGAGGGTTCTAAATGAATAAAATAATACAAGATTTAAAGATAATATTTCAACCTGAAATAATTGCGTTCTATTTCCCCCAGTAATTCTAGTCAAGAATAGTTTAGAAATTCTATATTACAAATTGATCTGTGCTGTTAAATGATGAATGACGAGATAGTGTAGACTATATTTCTATATTCCATTATTAAGTCGGGGCTTACCGTATAGAATAATTGCCACTGATTATTTCTAAAAATAAAACACTATTTAAGTTATAAACCGATGAATTGCCATTGTAATCTTTAGCTCTAAAAAAAACCTGATCTGTATAAAAGTTTCTAAGAAGGTAAAGATGAGTAGGAATAAACATTTAAGGGTTTGACTCATCAATTGACATACTAATGGGTTTATAATCATCAATATCAATAAAACGAGGGGTATTCCCCCAATAAAGTAACCTCAACTGACCCCAAACTATTGTTTGCAGCAATCGAACAATTGAAAGCCATAAATATGGGAATGTGATTCAGAGCGAGCTTTGTTTGTAGCGGATGCGGATCCATTTGGACGTCGGTGGCCAGGTGAACGTGGACTACATGAATGCAATTAAGTTTGTTCGGCGTCATGACGCATTTTGTGTGGGTGCTTGGGGGGCAGTTTAGCTCGTCTATTGATGTTGCTGTTTTTGTATTAACTGGCCTGGGACACCCCAGTACCAGTGTGCCGGTGTACCCCGCTTGTTGTCGCGCTGGTTGCCCTCGCTGTTCAACATGGCCACAATGGAATAGTTGGAAATGGGAAGGCTGGTGAAGTGGGCGAGCGGAGCTTTACAATTTACACATTAATTATGAGCAGACATGTGTTGTAGGCGTTTTGGCCAGGATCCTGGCGCTGGCTCGAGTCTTGCGGCGCGGTAACAGGTGCCTCCTGTTACTTCATCGCCCTCCCCATACACTGCACAAAATTAATGTTAAAACTCTGAAATCATTACAACGTAATTCCTTAAAACATATGTACATTTATTAGCTGGGCCTAATCAAAAGTAGCTAAGAGCAAAACTAAGAAAGTGTATTCTTAAAGCCGCGGATTCCATTTTATTTCGTTTTTTACTTTATATTTTACAACTTTAAAGTACATACACACTTTCAAAGACTCTCTAAATAAATGTAAATAACCCAAGCAAACCATTTTCTCTGATTTATTTTTTATTTACATTATTCAAAGACTTTATTTAGTCTTTTTATATTTTTTTTTTGAACTAGATTGGTGAATACTATTTTTATTATATTATTATTATTATTATATTAAAAAATATGAAAATGTTAGCTAACAATCAGTCAATTTATAACGTTTTATTTATTTTTAAACTTTTAATAATAAAACATTTTTTATCGATAAAGAAAATAAGTCTGTAATGTTTAGATGCTTATATTACCTTTTTTCCTCCAAGTGCCGAAGTATGCAAATTCAGGCTAGCAAAATATGCCCCTGGCCGGGTTTTATGGCAGCGAATTAATGAACGCAGCCAACGAGCCTGGCAATAACAAGGACGTGGGGAGGGGTCATTATTTTGTCCATGTCCCTGCGCCGGCTTCTCCAGATCCTTCGTCCTTTAGTCCTTCGCAACCGGCGAATGCAATGTGGCCTGGTCAGCTTGCGGCTCCACGAAACACCTCTCTTAAGCCTCCCGCCGCCGTGTGTAATAATAGCAATAATTTATCACCCCGGACTCAAATTATGCATGAACTCAATTGTGCGTGAAATTAAATTTTAAGCGCAAACAAGACGACTTGTCGGCTCGGCCCCTGTTTACCCCAATAATTTGGCTAATTTCACTTGTGAGAAGCCATCGGCCAAGGCAACCCGGAACCCACAAGCCATCCAAGCCAAATATAATTGAAAATATTTCAAATTGCTCAATGCAGCCACAAATGACATGAATTGGTTTTGCTCTAATTGAGAGCTTCTTGCGTTTCAGTTTCAGCGTTTAAATTGGAAGTCCACTTTAAGGATTAAGGAAAAAATTATATTCATTTAATTCTCTCAGATTCGAAGAGCTCTGAAAAATGAATACCTGAATTGTATATTTTGAGCTGCAATAATCTTGTCTTCTATACATTTAGATATAGAACTCAGATGACCATTTTGTTGAAGCCTGAAAATAAAACAAGCAAAAATCGAATTAATCAATCACATTTCGAATTTTAAACAACTTTTATCATCTCCAAACTTTTCTTCAATTCACTTTATTTCCTTCTCAAACTTCTAATACTCAAAGATACATATTCGAGTCAGTTGGAATAAATTTGTCGGCGCAAAATTCCCAAAAGACATAAAATAGCAAACTTTTCGATTGCATTTTTGTCGCAAAAGTAGCTCTGATTGCTTTAAAAATAATTTATTGAGTCAATTGACTTTTGCAGTGGAGTCTCCGCAAATAAACGCACTGCAATCGAACTTACAATCTCCGGGGAGCCCCACACATTCACTTGATTTGATTGTGTTGACTCTGCAGAGGGAAATAAACTTAAGTGCAGCACAGCCCCACAGTTCCACGTTCCTGAGTTTTTGGTTCGCTTCGGTTTCATTCGAAATTTATTGCGGCCGGAGTTCGTTCACATGGCAAGTTAAAGCTTCGGTTACATGACTCATTCAAACTGCCGGAATTTGCTCATTTCGGGGCTGGGGAAAAAGCCCGGACCACGGGCATTTGCGAAATTCTGACTCAGACTCTGGCCAAATGCAAACCGAGTCACACATGTCAATTCAATTTGATCGGAGGACCGTGACGGATGAAGCAGGCCTAGCCGGAGCTCAAGTTGAGTCCTTGTTTCCACCAGGGACAACACAACTCCACTGGCAACTCGATAGGGGCCTGGTTGAGGGGGACCTGTCTAGAATTGGCCAAATAAAAATGTCTCTTTTTCATTTCCATTGATTGACAGACGGAGTCGAAGAAGGAAAATGTCTCCTTCTATATGCACTGTGGCTTGTCATTGAAATATCATTTATAATTGGAAGGCATTTCCAAATGCCCAAGTCCATTTTAACTCTGTGAGCAAGATAAACAAGAAAGCAAATCAGAGATGATGATTAAAATTGGTTTTACAAATAGTTAAATAGTAAAAATATATATCTGACTATTGAATTTAAAATTGTATATTTAAATGAAATATAAAACCATAATAATAAATACAATGCAAATTTACTTTCTGGATTTAACAATAAAATATTTTATTTAATTACATCAACTTTCTACCACTAAACAGTCTGTAAAGAGAGTCTCCACTTGCATTCAGCTATTTAATTTGAAACCCACCACCAATTCAGCAGTCACATTACAGTTGTTGGGCGACAACCGAAGTAAAGCTACAAAATGTTGTAGCTTTGCGGTCGTCGAGTGGATTGTAAGTTGGTCGTTTGGCTTTTGTATAAGAGCTAAGCAGTGAATTAAATGTGAATTTATATACCAACGTAGATTGATTAAAAAATAAATAAAATATGATACCATTAAATAAGTAACAACAAAAATTAACAAATACATAGGGCCAAAAAAAAGACCATAAAAACTTTTCATAAATATTCCCTTTTTAAAATCAAACTTTTTAAGTAATTGAATTCATATAGTAATTCAACCAAGCAAGTCAAAGCTAAGATTTATTCCAGCGTAACATAAAAATAGCACAAATAAATAAATATTATTTTGAAATTGAATTTATGGCAAATGGTAGTGCGAAAAGATGAAAAATGTGTATCAATACTTTTGGCAAAGGATGCTTGCAAAATGCTGAGGACAGATATTTTATGTTTTCGTTGCCGCAATTGCTAGTTGTTCGACACTTTCAGAAGTATTGCTGGAACAACAAAAATGTATGTGATAAATAATGCCAAATCGAATATCATAAATAAAAACAATTTTCGATTTGCTCTTTGGCAAAGATTTTTTGGAGAAAACCAAGTACAGAATGTATTTTATTCCACAAACAATTTGGTATATTTTTAATGAAATATATGCTCAGATTTTTGCTATCTGGAAAATTTTTAAACTTAATCAGCTTACGTTTAGCAGATGTCGATGTGCAAGTTAAATCCTTTTAAACTGGTCTTATTAAAAACAAATATACTTCACGGCTTTAATGTCGTTGATTCACTTGTGGGTGTGCGGATTACCCCACTCCTGTTTTGGCATCAAGTATCTCTTTTGTCTCGTTGTTGGTCGCTTAATTAATTTATTTAATTACATACCCATTTGCATTCATTTTTAAACAGCTGGCAATGTTGCCATTATGTCGAATTCATGTCTGTTTTCGTTTCCCTCAAAATGAATAACAAACTGAACGAAAATATCAGCAAATTATGCATCGCCTAACTGAGTCTGTATATATTTTTATCAATTGCTTTTGTGGCAATGACAAGCTGGAAACGAATGGAAAATCAATTAGGAAATGTAATGGTGTGCAAATAATCATAAATTGGGTTAAACATTGATCGCAACAGTTTTAAATCTAAGCCGAAATAATGTAATGAAGTCAACGGATTGCTGGGTATTGGAACAAGGCTTAAAATGAAATAACGTAAATTTTAATGACCATGATAATGCTCAGATTAAACAAGGAAACCCTTTTAACAAAAGACTTAAAAAGTTTAAAGCCCTCAAAAAGGTAAGCAAAAATCGTTAAACTCGAGCATTACCTTGAAGGTTAAGAAACTTTTGAAACTCAGAAAATTCGCTAAGATTGCGTATCCGTCAGGTGGGCCACAACATTTAATCTTCGTAATGTGTATTAAATATTTGAGTACAACTAGTAAGACTTATAAATTAGTAAAATTATCTTTTTTAATAGATTTTAATTGATTAAAATTATAATTCCGGCTATGGCTTTCCGTCAATTAGTTTAATTAGTTGTTTAATTAAAAATTGTGTTTTAATCCAAAGCTAGAAACCAAAAACCGCAGTTTTGATTTTAAAATGTAGGAGTGAAAACCAGCCTACACAGCCTAATTAATTAATAAAAGTTTACAAATTTAAGTTTACATTAAATATGAGCCACTACAAAGCACATCCTAAATATTCGCATAAATATTTAAATGGCCATGCTTGTGCCGAATAAAAGTCCCATCGAAAAGTCGCATGCATGCATGCAGCTAAAACCAATAGCCAATTTCATATGATTCGGTCATGTAATTTTAAGAGCTAAAATCCCTGCATCTCTGATTTGCATTGGAATCCAAATAAAGAACGGGGCTTGAGTCGGACGCATACATATTCAGAAAGATTTCGCATGCGGCGCACATTTTTGAATACATTTGACAATTTTCGTAAGAGAAATGAGAAATATTTGCATTTACTTGAGTAGCAGCAGCGACAACGACGACTGCGACTACGACGACGACGACGGCAATGCAAAAATGTAATTTCCATGAAAGCAGCCAGCGCTGGAGAGGAATGGGCTTGAGAATGGGGTGTGGGTGTGGCGTTACGGGATGTGGAGTCATGAGCCAAGCCGGAGTCATCCGAAGTGGCTGCAAGTGCGCAGGCATTCGGGCCTTCCCCCAAGCCCTGGGTTTCACTGTGATCCCGGCATTGCTGCACGCGGAGAAACGAATTAATCTCATATGTTAATATATTTACATAAATTTATAATTTAAACTTTTGAAAAAAAGTTTATATATGGATTAAATAAATAAATTTTTATTTATATACATAGGTAAATTACATATTATATAATTATATAATTCTTAAGTGCTTGATTGAATTCGAAATTCTTAAATTTCGACTTCTAATTTATTAACTAACAAATAAAATAATATTTATATTCCAGACATTTTTGTTCATTTACATAGGTGAATTATAGATTATTTATTATTATTATTATTTTATTCCTATAATTTAGATATAAAATTCCTTATAAAATGTAAAAGAAATAAGTGCTTTTTTTCACTAAATTATTTTTTTAGTGCAGGCAGTAAAACTGTGTAGGCGAGGAAAGTTTCCTGGCGTGTGGGGACGACGAGGCGTTGACGGCGGTGTCTATTGTGCGGGTTAGTAGCGGCTGCATTTGCATCCCGACAGCAGATGCTGCACTCACCCACCAGAATCCAGAATGCAGAATTCAGAGGAGGAAGGGGATGCGAGATGGGCGATGTGGGCGGACTGAGAGATTTTCCAGAGCCTGTCCGGCTGGCATGAAATATTTGACTTTTGATTAAAGCACCGACTCAAGTGCTCGACTACGAGCTCCCTGGCGTTCTGCCCTGCCACTTGACAAGATTCACTTGTCTCTCAAATGCATTTCATATTGTGTTGCATAATTTTCTGCGGTTTCCCCAAGCTCTAATGTGGGCAACCCCTAACAAAAAGATCCAAAAAAAGAACGCTCGACTTTGTGAAAAGTTTTCCAAGAAGTTACTGGCGAACTAGTTCCGTCGACGTTGTCATCGGGCCTGTTGTTGTGGTGTTTGCGAAATATGCATTGTTTGTTGCGGTGCAAATATAGCAGTCGTTTCTATTTCTATCTGGCTGGCAAAAGTGTTGCCCAAGCTGCTGCACTTGTGCCAAAACTAAACAGAGCGAGAAGTTTTATGGAATTACACGTTCAAGTGCCGAACAACCCCTCAATGGCATGTGATGGAAAATAAGTTTTGGGTCCTGCACTTGATTCTTTACAGTTGGCTTTCTCAAACCGATTACCGTCAACTATATTTACTTAATTAAAATTTTAGAAATTTTTAGTTCTATAAAAAAACACTGTACAAATAAAAAAAGGCTTGAATAATATTTGTATTTTTGTAAAATATCAGAAAACTTTAACAAAACTACAATGAATTTTATTTAAAATTTTTAATATTTAATATTTATTGATTACCTGGTTACTTCATAATGTAAAGGTAAAGGTAAGAACTTGGTTGAAAGGCAACTACACCAAAGTTTCTTCTACTTATAACTTTTAAGTAAATATGGTTTATTGCAATACCAATTTGCTTAAGAATACCAATTTGAGTACAGAACCATATATCAATTGAGTTAAATTGGCATGTGAATGTGGACCACTTGAGCGCGGCAAAGACCGAAAAATCTTCGAGGCAACACTTTGTTCGAGTCAGGACAAAAAATTAATCATACGCTCTGGTTGCCAGCACAGTCGAGGGGAATTTCGCCGGGATCAAGGGGAATATTATTGCGGTACAAAGAGCAAATTAATTTTTCATAAAGGGAGAACCACGCGGCCACCGCAGCGCTGGCAAAGGGGTCCTTGTACCTCCAGGACCTTCTCGTCCTGCTTCTCTTGCTCCTCATCCTCCTCCAGATCCTGCGGTTTGCTGCTCACGCACGTACCTGGCACACCAAACACACACGGTTATACAGATATACACTCGCATATACGGGCTGGGCGCAATTAATTTTCAATGTGCGCTTTATGCAGCTCCTTGCCGGCTCCGGATTTCGTTCTCTCCGGCGGGAAAAGGGGAAAAATGCGGCTGCCAAGGTCTCCAATCCCCAGTTGCGATGGCGAGTGCGGCGGGGCGCACTAATTGCCACACAAAAAGCGGCAAAAAGAATTGCAGCCCAGCCCTTCGAGCTCGAGCCCTCGAACAACTCTTGATCGCATCGCTGGCTAATGTGATGTGTGCTTAATTTCCGTTCTTCAGCTAATTGGCCTCGTTTGCCTGGCATTCGCTAATTACTTAATCATCAGCCGCACTGACAGCCCCTAGATTTTGAATAAATGAAAAAATCACGGCCATCTTTAATGCAAGAAACTATAAGAGCGAACAAAAAAAATTGGAAAATAATAAAGGAAGTAATGGCTTGAGTCAAAGTATGTTTTTCTTCACAGTCCTCACAGAAAAATTAAGCCTCTTTAAATTTCTTTTTTGGGTGTAAAAGTTCTACACATTTCCCGTTTTTCTTAGTAACTGAATCATGATCATTTAATTTATAGACTATAAAGTCTAATTATTTCAAAAAGATAATTGGTAATCACAAAATAATCTACAAATAGAGCGTTGTAAAACAAAACAAGATGTGTTTATTCACATTTGATATATACTTCGAATTTTATTTCAATGTCACTGCCTCTTGGGCCTTATCATCATTTGAGCACGTTTTAGCGAGTAATTCTGCCCCTTAAACTGATACCAGTTGATGCCCTTTCCATAGGTGTTATCGCCATACTTGCCAGCCAAGTTGCTAGAGAGAAATTAATAAATAAATATATAATACATTTATAAAATATAGTAACTTAGATATTCACCTGTGATGACAGTCATTGTGCCACCAAGCACCGCTAAAATGTATGGCACAATTTACAGTTTTATGTTTGTCGTTGTCGCGATCTTTGGTGGTAAATTTCTGGCCCAAATGTGTGGCCATAGCATCGCCGGCATTACCCGAAGTATTGCCCAATGATTCCAGGGCGAAACCATCCTCTTCCGAGCCAATTCTGAAATTATCGTATATCTGGTACCGCCGTTCTCCCTTATTGTCCTCGAGCAAAAACAATAATTCCTGGGTTTCCGACGAAGTTATGGCATGCAGCTTGTCGAGTCCCAGGAAAAATTCATTCTCCAGTTTTCCAAAACCATTTTTATAGTCATTCCAATCTCGGAAAAAGTCCTCACTGCCGTCTCTACGACGCAATATAATGGTCCAGCCACCACCGTGACTCAGCTGATCGCAGGCCACCATAAAGGGGTGCTTACTGTACTCGGGCACCACAATGACGTTGATTTCACTGTGCTGCGTCAGCACCGAAGGTTCGGCGCAACTTTTTCCGTACAATTTTGTCTCTACTCCAGTTCTTGATAGGCATTTTTCCAGTTTCTCAGATAAGTCATCCAATATCTCTCCATGTCGCTCCTGCTCCACACTAAGATTTAAGCATGTTAATATAAAATTAATTTAATTTAAGAGAAAATTCCAACCGCATTGCTTCCATCGCGTTGCCGCAAATCGTTGATAATTCACACACTTTTTCAGCATTTATAAAGACGAATATATTAAAGATTAAAATTGAGAATGAGTAGAAGCGCAGCATGGTGACTGTAAAGAGCAATTGATGATCGCAGACTGAGCTGGCAAGTATTTATACAAAGACGACGAGCCAAGAAATATTCGGATTTTCCTATCGGCAAAACCCAGTTTATTTTAGATTAATACAGTGCTTCCCCGAAGATTATTTACATTTACGTTTATAAGCGCCCAAGTAATTTGGGAATAAAACAACAATTATTTTATATACCTTTCAATCAATAATGCCTATATTATTGCCCAAAAACCACTTCTCATCTGGTTGTTTTTTGCACTGGAGGACATGTGTTTCAGTGGATTGCACTCGTATCCATCAAATTCGTTGGGTTGTCAACGTTTCCGGTCTGGCGAGACAACCAGGACAACCAGGACATCCAGGACAGCCAGGACAGATGTCTCTTGGTTTCGAACTTAGTAACGAGCTCATCCGCAGCCCAGTCACCAAAACCCACTGCTGTCTGTCAAATTGAGCGCAAAAGCCTTGGCAGCCAGCTCAGGTGACATCAGTTCCGTCTCGTTACAGTTTGAAGTTTACCGTGTGTGACAGGCCTGGGGTTTTGTGGGCGGACAACCGCAAAAAAGTTCAAGCGAAAAGTTTTCAGAGTGCAGAGACAAGTAAAAACAAAGAATTTTTATTACACTCGCAAAAAAAAAAACCGATAAATTTTAAAAGTTTTAAAAGACTCCGATTTTGACTCTTGAAATATTTAGTTAGCAATTAGATAAATTTTTAAATATTTAGTTAGCAATTAGAGTACTCAACAAATTTTAAAAATAATCATAAATAATCATTAAATATATATAAAAATAAAAATAAATTTCCATGTATTCAATGTTTATTATTAACATATGTACATATAAAATACACTTTAAAATACTGCAAGTGTGTTATTGCTGAATCAAAAATCATCAAATCATCAAAAAACTTCATATTGATTATCTTTGAATAGATTCACCAATTCCGATAAGATTTTTACATTTCTAATTTGTATTATTTTCTTTAAAAAGAATATTTATTTTAAAGTAATTAATAAATATTCTCATAATGAATATTTTTGTTAAAAACAAATAAAATCCAAAAATATAGGCTTAAATAAAACTCAATTTTAATACTCTTATATTAATTTTTCTTTTGAATAGCATTTTTTTGTATTGTGTACCAATAAAAACTCGTGAATGCAGATCCCGGATTGATCATTTGTGGAATAGAGCTACAACTTTGGTTCGAAATCAAAGAAACTCTGGGCCAATCCCCCACTCTGCCCACGCCCCTGCCTGGCGACCGTTTTGATGGGGTAAACAGGATTTGGGGGGCATAAATCGAAATATTATCAAGATGCCAGCTGGTCGCGTCGCAACTAAATTGTTTGTAAATTTCTGCTCAGCTCTTTTCTTTTAACCCAGAGTGGCGCCTGCTGGACAAGAAAAACAGAGACAGCTACCGAAAATTGTGTAAACAAGTTTTACCCACCTATGGTGGCTACAATTTACAACTCGGCCAACATTTGCCTTAACATTTTTTGGGGTTTCACCTTTTTTTTTCGTTCGGTATTCTGGCTGGGTTGTATTTCATTTTACTTCAACACTCTCTCTGGCCGTGTGCCTGAGGGGCCAACTTTGGGCATAATAAATAACATAAAAATGAAGCGAATTCAACCTCAAAGTTCAATTCAAATAACCACTCAATAGATCTGCCGACTACTCCAGGGAACTTGATTCCTTTTCCTCCATCTTGTGCATACGAAATGGCCGCCGGCTGGCTGGAATAGACGATGAATTTAAATATGGCCAAATTGAGTATTGGGCACGTAATAAAAAAAGGACGAAGGCAGGGCCTTCGGATGGTTGGACTGTTGGCCGGTTGGACGGCCGTTATGTATGGCATCGTAAATAAACCCTTTTTTTACTTAATCCAAATTCGTCCCCGGGGAACAATTTGTTACACAATTTAAAAAAAAAAAAAAGAGAAGAGAACGCTGCGAAGTGAGAAAGGCGTTTAGATTTAGTCCGAGTCGAGCTGTGTGTCCTTGTGTGTCCGGGACTCGGGTCAGTTGTGCATACATTGTCCCTATCCGAGCTGCAATATTTTCGCCATAAAATATTTATATTTTTTTCGCTCTCCACTCCACTGCCAGTAATAAGGTTTTAAATTTCCATTTCGAATACATATTTGATGTGCTTAGAAGACACAGCGAATGTGCAGGGCCATAAAAGAATCCGACGAGAGATATGAAGATGGACCGAAAAGGATTTGGAATTGCTTTACTTGGTGCAGGGTGTATTTTTGTGGTATCTGCAGTCGCTGATTTCGTTGCAGCAACATATTTTTGCTGATTAGTGTATACATATGTATAATTTGAAATTAAAATGTATTAAGTTTTCAAATTTTAAGGCCGCAATTTATTTAAACTCTTAACGCTTATATTATTAGAATAAACTGTAGCTAAAAAGATTAAGTAAATTAATAAGAGAAACAGCTTTAAAAAAATTCTGAAATCTTAAGATTGTTTCCCTGTTTAAGTAGTTAATTGCCCTGCCTAGCGATACATATTAATCTGTGCTAAGAATTCAAATAAGCTTTTAGACTGTTACAATGGCAAAGCCGTTCATCAGTTTCCTTTCTTTCTGAACTTTATTTACGAAATGAGCTTCAAACTTAATCAACTGTTTCGAAGATCATGGCTCTTTGGCCAAAAACTGTAACTACAAAGGCATATGGGGAAAAACAGAGAACAGAAGCCGAAGCGGCCGTGAATTGGAGCCAACTTTACCAAAAATTAGCGGAAACGGAAGCCAATCAGCTGGCAGCGGAAACCGCATTGTGCTGCAGTCCTTCAATTTCGTGGCTTCGATTATGATGAGCCGCTGGACTCCATAGACCTCATATTCCGTACTCGTACTCCAAAGGAAACCATCACGATGAGCTGGCTTTGGCTTTGCGGCCAGAACCGAAAATAATGGCCAAGAGCCAAATTACGTTTCCGCCATTTGGTGCCGGGCAGCTTTCGCTTGACCGGAAATTGTGAAAAATCAACTCGGTCGAAGGGCCACCACCCAGTGGACGAGTGCTTTTCCCCCAAGTGCGAGGGGCTAGTGTACAGAAAACTGACTTCGCAATGAAAATGACCGCTTAACGAGCAAATTTCAATATAAAATAAACTTAAGGAAAATATTTCAGAAGAGCGAAAAGAAATAACCGAGCGAAGTTGTTTCACTGCCAAATGAAAGGCCTCAAGGAGTTTATTTTAGAGATGGTAGCGTGTAAAAAGTATCGAACTTTAGTTTATTTATAAAATGAGGCAATGTTACCTATATTTTTTACCTTTTATATTTAAATATTTATTTTTAATAACTCCTGGATTTAAGATATAAGTAATTCTTAATAAATAAATCCACACCTCTAGTTGTTTGCCATATCCTCCCCCGAAAAGATATGCCTGGCATCTGGCAAACGTCTGCGAATTTTATAATGAAATTCCACAGCGTTTAATTATGCCCGGAGCTGTAAGTGCCATAAGCCCTCAGATCCGACAATGAAATTTGAACTCTATCCAAGCTCAGCTTTGCATGAAATGTATAAAATCATTACAACAAAATGTGCCAGAAGATTCACTAAATCGAATTTGAAAAATCATCAACCATGTGGACGGCAATTTGGCCCTAAAGGCATTTTTCATGCAATCCAATTATGTTAATGTTGTAATGAACGTTTATGATTTTAATGGGATTCCAGTAATATGATTAAATTCATTAAAATCAGACATTTATTTGCAAAAATATAACTTGAATATTGGTTAAGCGAATGCAAATATTTTTTATTAGATGTATTACAAAATTTAATTTAAGTTGAGTTGAGTTTAAGCACATTATATATAATTTTTGTAAAAGTTTAAAAGTTTAAAGTATTATAAAGTATAATATTGAATCATTTGTAAACACATGCAAAATAAACAAAACCTCTCAAGCTTATTCCAGCTTAAATTCCATCGTTTAAGGCCCTTAGGAAAAATCCCTTGTTAACATGTTCATCCTGGCCTCCACTTGAGGTATCTGAAGCCCAGTCCGATATCCATCCTCCACATACTATGTATATATGGCATAGTTTGTCCCCTTATCTTTGCCGCTACGTGAGCGCACGTTTGCGCATTCGTTAGCCTTAACTAAGGCCGCGTGCAAATCCGATGCAGACCATAAATTATACAGGGGAAATTTTTTGGGAAAAATTGTGAAAAGCGGGTGCCTGCGGGTCGCGATGTACGTGAGAAGTTTGGCCAAATGTCGCCTTGACAACAACAATAAAAAAAAAAAAAAAGGCAAACTGTTGCTGTTGATGCATTCGATAATTAAATAAGGCAAAACAAGATGTCGACAATTTGGGATTTGAATAAACACACGAAAGCTATTTAACTTTTGCACGACTACAACGAGCCACATCCGACCAAGCTTTTCCGTTTAGGTTTTCCAACCGGGGATTTTCCGCGCGCACGCAAAATCCAAAGCAAGCAAAGTTGAGGCGTCGTGGTCGAGGCTCTGTGAAATTAAATAAGTTGGGGAAACCGCTAACGAGAAAGGTGTCTGGCACTAGGAATTAATGCGGCGGTTATGCCTTGGGCTCCGGGCTCCGGACTCCTGACTCCCGGATCCCGGATCCCGACTCCTGGATCCTGACTGCCAAGGAAAATGGGTTGCGAATGCGGTGGTGGCAACGCGTAAAATTGCAGAGCATATGTGTTTGGAGCTTAATCTGTTTAGGCAACACGAGAAGCGCCTGCCGACAACTTGCTCTAAAACTTCTGGTAGCACTAACTTCTCCTGGCACTCCATAAGTTGGGCAAAGAGGTGGGGGGAGGGGCTGGGGAAACTCCAACGAGGTCACAGAATGATGCACTAGACCCGGTGGGCACTGAAAACACTGGCAGCTGGTTGCAAACTTCGAATTCTTTAAAAATGTCTAAGTTGCACTCTTTTGCTGCTGCTGTTGGCAGGAAATTTATTTTCGATGTCAATTTGTGGCGAAAATTTAATTGCTATTATGGACAATTGCA